AGCATTTTTAGGCAGAACGTTAAGTGTTCTGTTTTGATTTTATTATGCCTTCTTGTGAGGGTTACAAATATTGTTTAGATAAGAATGGTTTATTCTAATGTGAACGGAAAAAGTATATCGAATTCTTAGATAAGCAAAAGCATTAATAAAGATTTTAATTTATGAGGCCGCACAACGACAAAGTGTAAAGATTCGATAATGTTTACAGTTATGGTCAAGTGGCTGTGTGGAGGCTATCATTAACTTACATACATTTTGGCGATTCATTTTTATTTATATAGATTATGTTTTTTGAATATGCTATAGAAAATTTAATATTTGTTACCGACATATTTATTTTCATTAAAGTGTAAAAACATCTCTGAAGAACGAAATGTAATAAATTTTGCGACTGTTACTTACAGAATAGCAAAATCGTCTCAAGTATCAAAAATGATCTCAGTGTATTCAAAATGGAAGACAAGAGTGCTTTTTGGTTTTGTGACTTGCTAACTAACAGGTCTCAAATTTGAGGCAATACTTTGCGACTAAAGCTAGAGACTATTTAGTGAATAGTAACTAGTCACAAATTGAAATTTTACCTCAAAATGTCTCAAATAGAGACTAGAGACTGGTTACAGAATCCCGCTATTATTAATATTATGCGTATATTACATCCAATATGTCTGTATTCCATTCAAGGGCACGATTCCGATTACTTTGGCGGTCGGGGATTGAAAACGAGTTCGATATAAATAGGGTATGTGCTGATAGGGGAGCTAATGTTTCTAACACTTATATTTGTAAAAGTATTCGCCTTTGTTATTAACACATGGTGTTTCTCAATGATTACTTTTTTCACATTTTTCACATCGCATATCACTTTCAACTTTGAAATAAGCTCACATTTCATTTTTATTTTGTTTAATTTTAGCTACATTTTTTAATTTAAAAATCACTTAGCACACCCATAGCTGCAAAGGTTAGAGTGCTTACAATTATGAGGAAAACGAGCGTTGCCACATCTTAAAAACCAAATATGAAAGACTTTTCAGCGACAGTGTACCCTTTGTTTGTACTATCGCGTGATTCTTTTTTCTTTACTGACTATGATATAAAAAAGTTATTTCCAACATTTTTCAACCTTTGATGGAGTGTGTGAAGTGCTCCTTACTGCGTTAAAAAAATAATCCTGGTCGAGCCAATACCCGTGGTATTTTATTATTTTATTACGTAATATTGCTATATAATTTTTGTTTGTTTATAAAACTGAAATAAGAGAATATCCATATGCATGGAAAGAGTGTTTATACTCATTTTAATTTGATATATAATCTATACGGTCTTTTTTATTAGAACTAAGGTTGCTAAATAAAGAAAGAGGAATTTCAGCAAATTGCTCATATGTAGATATTTGCTAATTAACATATGACAGCACTCCATTTCCTCTTAATTGTTAGCACATAAATGATGTCCACTACGAGCGCAAAAAGTAATTCTTGAAATTTAGATTTCTTACTTAAAAACCAGCAAAAACTGAAAAATATGAGTTTGTTTAAATGTTTACAGTGCAATTTAATTAATTTGAAGTGAAAAATGTGGTTAAACTGTGTTAAATGTGGTAAAAGTTATTTGTAGCAGTGCATACAAATTATTAATAACAAACTTAAACAAATAGTGCACGAAATAAATAGATACAAAAAAAAAAATATAAAAAATAAAAAATGTTAGTGCCTCTCCAGCAAATATGTAAGCATTCCTTAAATGCCTACTTTACCTTTGTCGAGCCAACAAAAACAAGGCCGCCAAAAAAAGGAACGGCGATGATGAGTCATAGCAGCGAACAGCTGAAATGCAAATTAAACAAGCGCTGTCAGCAGAAGCAGCAGTAAACAGCAAGCAGGCAACAACAAATGCGCCGATAGCAACCAGCCATCCGGTACTAGCAAGCAACCGGACAGTGAAGGAAAACAAAACGCAAGGTGAGAATATATCGAGTAAAAAAGGACCATCTGTTCAGACTTTTATTGATCGCTACATAAATGTAAAAAGGAAATCGAGTCTAATAAAGAAATTCAACCAGGCATGTAAAACATATTTGCCTTTCTGAGCAAGTACACCACATTTGTGAATGACAAATGTCTAGTAAACTACCTATAATCCTATATATATTTTAATCAAGAAGACATCCTCTTGCCGACGGTACCTTCAAATCGCGGCGCCCAAGAAATTTAAGGCGGAGCAGAACATTTTATACTCTCGCAATTCGCAAGAGTCAAACCGGGAATATACATATTTTCAGATATTAGACAATTTATATTTAACAAGCATTTAAGGGCTATGTTCAGTTGTAACCAGGTGTATTTTTAGGTACACGCAATACCTAAATAGATAAAAAATCTGAAAAGGAATTCAGTTATATATTCTGCGGAATCCTGAATGGGAAAAAAAGAATGGAAAAAAATCCTACTTAGCCATTCCTTACGTGTTTACATTAGGAAAGCATTCAGCGGGGTACAAAATTCTAAATAATTGCTAAAAATCCAAGACTTCGAACATCATAACATAATGGTTTTTATTTTGCTTACCATATTATTGCGATTGTTGTCCCGCCTTAGTGTCATTAAAGTGGTACCATCTGATTTATTATACCGCTTTTGTTGTACTCGTCGTTGTTCATCTTGCTTTTTTGTATGTTCCATTATTAAATGTTGATGAAGTAATCCAGTTTGTACCAACACGGAAGAATGATATTTAGCACGTGGTATCATTACTGTTAATGGCTGATCTGCATGTCTGGTAGATTTGTACGTTGAATCCGTGAAACAATTATGTTTGTTTAGTGTATCTTCTTCATTATAGGTGGCATTAACATTGACTGTTTCTGGTTTTGCTACGTGACCATAAGGTGAATATCGTTGTCGCTCCACATTCACACTGCTACTGTCCGCCTTTATATGTGGATCTCTGGATCGACGATACGATTTTTTAGAAATATCAGTTGGATCCTTCTATATAAGCATAACAAAGTATATAATGAAGGAATAAGTAACGCAAATATTATAATAAAAAAATTTAATTGAAAACTTGATGATTAAAAATATACACATTAAAAAAAAATAAGAAACAAATGTCGCAAAAAAAAAAAAAACAAGTAGTTTATATATTCTTTGCCACAACTTTTAGAATTAAAATGACTTCCTTTTATTTTAAAAATAACAACATTTAATTGACATGAAGAAAAACAATTTCAAATGTAAAATATGTACTTTTGAAGACAATGTGCAAAATAAAATTTTCGAACAATTGATGAAATAATGTTAGTAGTTTTCAATATAACTTTTGTGTGGGAATGAGCTTGGGTATTAACCAATTTCCCCCATTTTAACACCGTGGCAAGAAGTGCTAGAAAAAAGTGTTGACTAAGATATGCACATAAAACGAATTAGAGGGCGAGGTCGCGCCTGCTTTTTCAAGAAACAATTTAACCGTCGATGAACCTCGCTACTGTACTCCTTGATTAAGGGTATACTACTTCTCTTACCTTTAAAACATATAGCAACGTATTTTTACTACTTTCACTGCTAGTATCCTTTATTATTGCACATTTATCGATTTTAATGCGCTTCGATCTACAACCTCTTATACCATGTGTACTTTTGCCATTTATTAGACTAATATCGGGTAATCCAGTTATTCGATGAATACCCCTATTATATTGTGATGCAGCAGGATATTTTTTACGCAATGTATGCCGTTTGGTACACATAAGAAGAATGCAAAAAATCAAGAGTGTAAAGAGAAGCGTACCGACGGCTATTAAAACTACAAGAACTATTTTTAAATTCAGTTGGCATGTTGAACCAGTATACCAGGCAAAGCATTCGCACACTACATGCTCCGAAGTGTATAGGTGATTGAATTTCTTGATGGCACATTTGCCGTGATAGTGACATCGATCGCATCCGACTAGTTCGGCTGAACATATACGACCCGGATAAATTCTGTTGCCTGATAAGTCTGCGAAATTCTCCTTGCAACTACATGTATATGTGCCTTGCAGATTAAAGCATAGAGCGTGTGAAGAACAATCATGAAAATTTCCATGCGCACACTCGTTGAAATCTGTGAAATACAATTTTTATAATGAAATATGTAGGTAAACTGTCTTCTTCATAATTTCAATGAACGATACCAAACAATCTATACCTTAGCCTGTTACAATACGTACCCGGATAACACAATTTAAGTTTCAATAACTTCTTAGAGTACAAAATATAAATAAATCGAACAAGTAAGGAAAGGCTAAGATCGGTTGTAACCGAACAATTCATATTCTTACAACTTCTAAGGATTAAAGTCTTGGAAGTACCTTCAGGTATATAAGGCTTATTAGTTATATGGGATCTAGAGCCAATTTTCACTCGACTTTATTCATTCTTAGGACAAATATTCAGCGTTATTTGGAAAATTCTTTCTCTCAATTTTTGTTCGAATTTCGAAAATCCTTGTATTAGGTATATGGGAGCACCATTGCCAAGAAAGGGTTATCCTTGAATTTTAATTATACATCTCTAACATTGAGCGATATTTTAGGGATCCACTTATTCGGTACCTAAGGACTTGAACAGTTTTATTTCGATTCGAACATTTTTTGGTGCAACACCTCAAAGTCAATATTGATGAAAGTTTCAAATGGAATCTAAAATTGTGTTATATGGGAGGGAGGCGTAGATATACTCCGTGGCACCTGCTTAAGACCCTCTCTTACTATACCGGTAGTAAAATTAAAATTCTCTGGCGCATTCTTATGAAATTTTCGCAAGTTGAATTTGTTTGTTGTAGCTTTAGTGGCTTAAAGGACATGAACACTTAACTCATTAGAAGACGGGGCCACACCCATTTTTCAAGACTTTTTTGCCCACATGTGCCCCTTCCTACTGGGATCTTCTGCAGCGAATTAGAGTTTTATGTCTTAATTTAGTACCGACTGTGGACGCCCATCACGAAGGAAACGGTAAGGTAAGGACGAACTCATTAATCTTTTTTTTAGCAAGGAACACGCATACAAGGTTTCATCAAGATATTTCCATTTTTACTCAAGTTACAGGTTACGCAGACGGACAGTCACCCGGATTTCAACTCGTCTCATCATCCTTCTTATTTGTATATATATAACACTGTATCTATCTCGATTAGTTTTAGGTGACACATAACACCGTTAGGTGAACAAAATTATTATATATTATATTATTATTATTATACCACGTAGCAACGTGTTACAAGCTTATAAAAAATACACGTATGTATATGATGTCAGAAATGAATATGCCGTGGTGATAAACAAAAAAAAAAAAAAAAAAAACTGGACGTAATTGAAACAAAATTATTGGGTCTTGTTTATGAGCGTACACCAATGTAAACAAAAGTCATCACAAAGTTCGGGTGACAAAAGCAGTATTGACTAGAGTAATTGATGTATTCATAGTTCAAAACTAGCAAAATATGATTCTCTAGTATTAAACAGTTCCCTTATGCAATTTATGTATAATTACCGGCTACTAAATCGCTAGCCAATGCCGATGTATACTGCAATGCTTATCGACTAATACGCTAGCACCAAAAGGATTAAATCTACCATTCTATTTGTAAATGTTAAGTTGACTTTTAAGTAACGAAAAATGTTTTTAATAAATTATTTCTTACCCGTTATCGCCAAAGATTCGACACCATTACGATCCGTGAAGAGTTTTGTGCCACCGATGCTATAGTTTGTAAAGCGTAAATACTTTTTGAATACAGCCATTAGACGTACCTCATTGCTATTTTCTGAAAGCTATACAAACATTGCCATTAAAATATTTGAAGATAATTCTAAGCAAAGAAAAATTTAGCAATACATTGTTGGAATATACTATTTGTAGCCAAGAAGAAGAAAAAACAGAGAAATAACTTCCTACTTTTGACTTACGAATATTGCATCATACAAGATTGTAATGACCGTTTATCGTACAAGTGAAAAAATTCCTTCAATATAATTTATAGAAAAAATATACTCTTTCAAGACCTTCGACGAATCGCTGTTCTACTGGCATACACTAGAAACCATAGACCAGTGGACCTCAACTGGCGAACCTCCTTCAAAAAAAAACAGCAATTTATCGGTCGGATAACCACGGTTTTCGGCAATCCACAAGGTATCGTAGGGTAAAACGGTTACAAGGTTGTAGTCAATTATTAAGTCGACTCGAAGTATAAGGTATCTCGCCGGCTCACAACTCCACCGTTGGCACCAGAAAATTGGTAAAACTAGGCCACGGCGCGCAAGTCGTCCTTCCTTTTCACTGTTTGGTGCCAATTGGAGGCACCAATTGTTGCAAGGTTTTTCTGTACATTGTCTTTCCAACGGAGTGGAGGTCTTCCCCTACATCTGCTTCTCCCGCGGGTACTGGAGCTGGAGTGTTTCATAAATTCGGACGACATGACCTAACCAGCTTAGCCGTTTTCAATTAATTCGGTGAACTATGTTAATGACGTCGTATATCTCGTTCAGCTCATCGTTTCATCGTTCTATTATCAAGAGTGATTCTGCTTTGGATTTCGACACTCACCTTGTTTTTGGTGTTAATACTGGTTTCAAGATAGACGATATTATGTACGACTTCGAAATTATGACAGTCAACAATAACATGAAGGTCAAGTCGCAAATTCAGCCACTGTTAGTTTGAAGACAGAAAATATTTCGTCTTGCTCTTGTGCACTACCAGACCCACTTGCTTTGCTTACGTGTTAAATTTGGAGAAAGTTCTTATGACCAATGATATCAATATCATCGGAGTACGTCAGCAGCTGTACACTCTTATGAAAGATGATTCCCTCTTTATTTAGTTCTGCAGCTTGAATTATTTCCTCCAACAGAGGATTGAAGAAGAATCATGAAAGGAGAGTTCCTTCCCAATTCTGACGGTGCTTTTGGTATTGCTCAAGGTTAGCTTACACAGGCACATTAGTCTTGCGGGGATACCAAATTCAGATATAGAGGCATAAAGGCAGAGACTTTTTGCGCTATTAAGCTTTGAAGTCGTCGAAGAGGTTGTATTTGTCCATCTTCTTTTCACGAATATTTTGCGGGAATAAAGCCATAGCGAATATTTGGTCAGTTATTTGTTTTCATGGTCTAAAGACACTGATAAGATCATATTAGTTTGTTGGCGGTAGTCTTTAATTTTTCACACAATATGCTCAGCTGAAACTTATATGCGATTTTGAGACGGCTTTTTCCACGGTAGTTAACGCAGATTGTGGGGTCTGCGTTTCTGTGCATTGAACAGATCACACTTCAGTTTCAATCGTCGGGTATGCTTTCGTTCGACCATATTCTACAAAGAAGTTGACGTACGATCCTTATTGATTCTTAATCGCCGTATTCGAATACCTCGGCTGATAATTCTTTGGCCCCTACTGCCTTGCTGATAAGTGTTCTCAGAGAGAGGGAGTGTAAGTCGAGCAGAAATCGTTCTGTTGTCTGTTGTGTAGGACAGAGCGTACGCACGTCTAAAACACTGGAGACGTGTCTTTCGTCAAGCCAGCCAGGTAGCTCGGTGACTTTTTTAGCTAGAATTTAGTACTACATTTAACTATATTTCCGGCTCCGACGAAGTCAATCAGCCTCAACCCATTTGAGGAGGTTCCATCATGGAGGCTGAATTGACCGGTCGTTGTACCAATGATACCTTCTCTTCCGTCTGGGCGTAGCCGCAAATCAGCGATATGTTGAAGAACTTCGCTTTGATTCGGGTTGTGGCTAGACGTTCATCCACCGGGGTGAATGCCAGGACTTGTTCCGTCCATGTCACTTCCTGGACGGTAGTGATGCCAGCCTTTACAAGCGGCACTGTCCCAATTAAGGGACCGGATAATCCAGGTGGGTGCCCATAAATCCTTAAGGCGTTTGCAGGAGTCGTCATCTAAAGAGATGTCGCTCAGACGAGGCGTTTGCGCCCTTTTCATCGGAGTGTTTTGTTACGTCGCGGGTCCGAAAACCAGCGCGGGAGGAATGAGGATCCCCGTCTCGCCTTCAAACGGATGTTTTTTAGCTACCCGGAAGGTACTTGGTCTAAGACCGGAAGCCGTGTTGTGCTGGAGCCATATGTAAAATAATCGTTTCTGACCACTCCCAAGTGAATATCGGTCAGAGTACTATCCTCCCTTTCGTGAACTTCTACACACGGCTCCATGGCTTGATAACGTGAAAAGTTACTCACTGGGCAGGAAGAAATGAGAAAGAAATTGGGTCTAAGAAGTGGGCAAATAACTCTGATCCTGTGCATCGAGGGCAAAGAGTAATATTCTCCTCTTTCTTCATCTTGTTTGTTTGTTTTGTTTGCTAACTGTTTATCGGGTTGTCACTGCACTTGTAAATGTTAACTGTATTAGAAATAATTAGCTAAGAAGCACAAACCTGTAAAAGTAAATTTGCTGATAAATCAGATGATTCTGTGTTGGCTGTCTTGCCACCAGTGCCCATATTTCCGTCGTATATTGATGTAAATGTTGACAACTGTACACCATGATAAATATCTCGTAAATCGGATTGCATTACCATACGATTAATTGCTTCCTTCGTAACTGTTGCGAGATGCTTATACTCATTAGTGGAATTATCGGCCAAAACGTGATCGTAAACCAATTTAAAATCCCCAAAATGGTCAATATGAAGGCTCAGTTGATATGTGTAAGTTGCTAAACAATTTATAATATTAATAAGTTGGAAGTAATTTTTTATAAACAATGGTTAAAATATAAGTACAGTTAAGTTCAGGGCAGTTGTATATATATACTAAATTTGTAAATGTAACAACCATATCAAATATTTTTTTATACATATATCTGAAAATTTTATACGTATGTATATATTCTTTCGATATTGTTCATCATCATATCATTATCATTCGCGGTAACCAATTCTTTACACCGCTAACTTCGCTAGATTATTCAAGTTCATGTATGGAAAAGTTTTTAACTTATATTTTGAAGAAATATACCATTAATTGTTTGACGAAGCTACGCTAAAATCGTCGAATAAATTTTTCAGATCGGAACACTATCATATAAACAATCGGTCTATTTTAACTATTACTTATTACTCTTAATTATAACTTTGATGCAGCCAAAGTTAACGTTTCTTCTTGTTACATTATAAAATTAGGCGTGTTTAAGCCTCTCTTTAAATATAGAACTAGTTAAAAAGAGGACAGAATTAGCAATTTGTATCCTTTTTTATATGAAAAATACATAATAATTGGAAGACTGAAAACATCCGTTTGAAGACGAGCTAAAATAAGAAGGCGAATGAAAATTACCCACTGCCTCAGGTGAGAGACCCCGTTTTGATAACCACAATGGCAAACTAAATAAGGATTACGATTTGAGGGCATACACCTGGAATGTCCAGTCCCTTAATTAAGAAGGTGACGCTGCCCAGCTGGTTGGTCCAAGAAATGCGATGGATGTTAAAAGGACTGAAGCGAGTAGGTCCATGTGGCATTTACTACAGTGGCCATATAAAGGAGCGCAAGTTTGGTGTGGGAGTCGTTGTGGGAGAGCGAGTCCGCGGTCGGTAAATTCAGCCTCCACGACGAAACATCCCCAAATGGGTTGAGGCTGACCGACTTTGCGGGGCCCAAAATATGTGCTATATATTTCTGTAGTGCTAGATTCCAGCATAACAAAATACATCAAGCTACCTGGCTGTCTCTGAATCAAAATGCCATTATCCAGTTTGATCATGGTGTGATAGACGGAAGACACATCACCAGTGTTCTAGGTATGCGTACTCTTCGAGATCGTAACAGCAACAAGGATCACTATCTTGTTGCAGCCATGATTCGCACCCACCTCTGTGTAGCGAACAAAGTACGTCAACAAACACTAGGAAAGTTCGACGTCGAAAAGCTGCAATCACAAGACATATCCGAAAGATTTTCTACTCGGCTTGCACTCCTGCTCTCTGAGAGCAGTCGTCAACAACTCGGTATTAGAGAACTGTGGCATTTCAAACCATTGGTTTTCGGAAAGTGCAAAAGAACAGCTGGTACGAGGAGGGTACCATGTCGCAGCGGAGAGGAAACAGACTGCCCACCTCGCAACGTAACGATCGTCCACAACACATGCGGGATGGGATAATTACCGAGAGTTGAAGAGGGAAGCGAGACGCATTTGAAGGCAGAAAAAGAAAGAGGAGCAGACGTTCCATTGCCCGACCAGGAAGAAGTTCGAATAGCAATTACCCGCCTGAAGAACAACAAAGCGGCGCTTGCCGATGGGTTGCCGGCCGAGCTATTCAAACACGGCGGCGAAGAACTGATAAGGAGCATGTATCAGCTTCTTTGTAAAATATGGTCGGAAGAAAGCATGCCCAACGATTGGAATTTAAGTGTGCTATGCCCAACCCATAAAAAAGGAGACCCTACAATCTGCGCCAAATACCGTGGGATAAGCTTCCTCAATATCGCATATAAGGTTCTATTGAGCGTATTGTGTGAAAGATTAAAGCCCACCATCAACAAACTGATTGGACCTCATCAATGTGGCTACAGGCCTGGAAAATTAACAACCGACCAGATATTCACCATGCGCCAAATCTTGGAAAAGACCCGTGAAAGGAGAATCGACATTCACCACCTTCATCGATTTCGAAGCTGCTTTCGACCGCACGAAAAGGCCTGAATTTGGTACCCCTGCAAAACTTATACAGCTGTGTAAGCTGACGGTGAGCAGCACCAAAAGCTCCGTCAGAATCTGGAAGGACCTCTCCGAGCCGTTCGATACCAAACGAGGTTTCAGACAAGGCGATTCCTTATATAGGTATTTATATCAACGGACTCAACACCCGCGCCGATAGTTCTGCTTTCTCCAGACTGGACAAGGAAACAACACAAATGGGTCCGGCAGTGAATGAGGGCAAGACGAAATATCTTCTGTCATCAAACAAACAATCGTCGCACTCGCGACTTRGCACTCACGTCACTGTTGACAGTCATAACTTTGAAGTGGTAGATAATTTCGTCTATCTTGGAACCAGCGTAAACACCACCAACAATGTCAGCCTGGAAATCCAACGCAGGATAACTCTTGCCAACAGGTGCTACTTCGGACTGAGTAGGCAATTGAGAAGCAAGGTTTTCTCTCGACGAACAAAAACCAAATTCTATAAGTCACTTATAGTCCTGGTATATGGTGCAGAGGCTTGGACGATGACAACAACTGATGTGTCGACGTTGCGAGTTTTCGAGAGAAAAATTCTGCGAAAGATCGTTGGAAACGGCGAATATCGCATTCGAAATTGACATAGTTCAGCGAATTAAAAGACAGCGGCTACGCTGGCTAGGTCATGTCGTCCGAATGGACGAAAACACTCCAGCTCTGAAAGTATTTGATGCAGTACCCGCCGGGGGAAGCAGAGGAAGAGGAAGACCTCCACTCCCTTGGAATCTCCAATTGGCGTCACGTGGCGAAAAGAAGAAGCGACTGGCGTTCTGTTGTTAACTCGGCTAAGCGTAAGCGGTTTATACGCCCGTAAAGAAGAAGAAGTGTATATTTGGAAAAGCCAGTATTAATTCGACTAATGGCGCACAAAAGTGCCAAAGAATTAAGTTAAGCCCTATATGAATAAATGAACTCTTGGTACAATTAGCATCCCAATAATGTAAATATGTTACAAGTTATCAGTCTACTGGCCCTAACTACTAAGTATAAGAAAATGTTTAGTGTTTATAACAGCTGAGCTTAGTGTCCTTATAACGTAAATAATAATCCTAAGTTAACATTTTGAGAAAGATGGTAAAATTTTCCAGAATTATCAACAAACATTGAAATTTAAAACGTTGTGTCTACAAGATTTGAGTTATTTTAAACAGTCTCTTTGAAAGTAAGCGATTTCCAATGCTGTCTTAGCATACTTACACATATCCATATATACGTATACTTACGTTTACACGGGCGATCGGGAAACATGCGTGCAAAGCCTGGGCGACAAACACAAAGCCAGCGTAACTCTGCCAGAGTGCACACCTCATTACTTGTCATTTTGCATGGAGGCATGCATGTTGAATTTTCCATTGGATTGATAACGGTAAAATCGTTCTTCTTCGATGGTGATGCTATAAATACACCCCCCAGCGATACTTCATTTATCTTTGTACGAAAATCATGCGGCTCCACAATAGACTCTTCATCTCGTGCAGGTAAATTAAACACCGATACGCTGTCATCATAATCTAATTGAAAAGTGCCTGTATTTGTGTCAATATTGTCAAAATCACCAGCGGCGCCAGAAACAGTAGACGAGGCATCTGCGCTATCAGGTTTAATAACGTTTGAAAGGCCATGTGGTTGTTTGGCTTTAATATTACTTTGTGAGTTTGTCATCACAATAAAAATGCTGTTTTTTGGATCGTAAACACTTTCTGCAGTTATATTTGAAATGTTGAGAATTTGCACTTCATTTTTTGTACCCATTTTGATTTTATTTGAATTGTCTTCATATATCTCAAAACTATTATTATGCTTTATATTATTGTTTTGGGGTTTGTGGCTTAGAATGGCGTGCGTAAAGGGATCCTGCTCATATTGTGGTAAGATATAATTGCCTACATTAAAATGGGGGTTTGCGTTATCATTTTCTACAATTTCTGTTGTTATAATATCATTGGCAAGGTTAAAGCTTTTGTCCGGCTTCTCTTCTTTATTTATAACAAACTCTGCAATTGGCAATACGCTACCAAGGGTTACCCTTGTGGCCTCCGCGAAAATGTTTGTATATGTTTCTAGTATTTTCTCTGTTGTCTCTTTTGCTTTCTCGGTTGAAGATTCTGACTCTTTTACTGTTACGTTTCCGAATGGATATTCGGATAGCGTTATTGTATTATCAATCGTTTGTAGTTTGGTTTCAAAGAAAGAAACATTTTGTAACTGGACATACGCAGTTGTTTTAAGTATCCTCCTATCTGTGCTGGGAGAAGTAATCAGATGTGCTCTTGTTATATACTTTGTTGGTAATAACTCAATATTCCTGTAAAATATGGTATCTGAAGAAATGATTGTTCGACTGTTGTACTTTAGGTGCCATTGACTTTTTGTTTCGTCATTTGTAAGATTTGATTTGTCYACGATCGCGCCAAGAAGACGATTTGGTAAAGCCTTTAAATGAGTGAAGGCGTCTGTTAGCGACCCTCCACTACTTGGGGATATCGTTACCGCTTCTGAAGATTCGAGAAAAGGTTTGATAGTAACCAATACATAATGATTGCTTATAATGTTCACATCTGTCTTTGGTTGCAATTCATACTCTCTTGATTGTTGCACATACATTGTATTCTTTCTTTTGTTATTTGTATACAGCTCTGTGGTGTATTTTGAATCTGCAGTGAAATTATTAACATGCTTTCCTGGAATTTGAAAAGCTGTGTATACAGTCGATGAATTCCATAGTAATGATATACTGCTTGTATCTCTCATTGTTGCTGTTGGCTTAATATGTTTATTATCATTATAATTTATTGCTGAAAGTGCATTTGTTGATATACCCAGAAACACCTTTGTACTTGAGATTAAATTTATGTCTCCCCTTACGACGCTGTTCGTCAATGTGCCATTAATTTTCGATACGGGTATTTCTTTCGGTATGTTCCGATTTATTGTGAATGCCGTTGTACGCCCTAAGTATCTATTTTTTGTGTGCGATGGTAATGGTATTTGTGCTGCTTCTAGTGGTGTCGATTGTAATAGTGTTTGCAATATTGCCTTTAAGTTGACGGTCTTGTAATCCTGGGTGTTACTTGGATGTTCAACCGGTGTCTGTAACTTAACACTTGGTAAAGGTTCGGGCTGTTGTTGTTTTCGAAATAGTGATAATGTTGATGATGCTGTAATAGGCGAAGGTAAATCGCATATTTTTTCTTGATGCTGATTAAATGTGAGCGTTTCGTTGTGGGTTGGTTCTTTTTTTTGCTGTTTTTGTGTCGCATTTTGTAAAATCTCCGATCTTTCAACATCAAAATGGGTACCACGCGACCATAACTGTGTATTGTGTGTGCATTTATTTTTATTAAGACTCATTTGGGAAGTTACCGGCGACTTTGTTGATATTTCTACGTCCTCTTGCGTAACTTTAGTTGCATAGTAGCTTATCGGATGTGTATTTTTTCGACTTGAAGGAACAGTAGAGTTTCGTCCAGAATTTCTGGTGACATCACCATTTAACTGTTCCATAATTGTTGTGTGTGTATTACAGACTTTCATTGCAGCAACGGGTGAAAAAAATGGTTGTAAAACTTTCTGTTGTTCGGTGCGCATTTTGTTATATAAACTATTTGTTGCCGATGCCGTGTGTTGATCCACGTTTAATTCAATATTTTCCTCATCCAAAATGACATAGTGACTATTTTTGGGCTTAGATTTGCTGTTATCCCGATTTTTGTGAGATATGAAAGCTTTGGTTTTACTATTCTTGACAAGAAGCCCATCATCAGCTGTATCATAAGTATTGCCACTTTTTAAAAAACTTATTTCGTCAATAGTGTTATTTGATTGGTAATATAAACTTGCTGTGTTTAGAGAACCAGTAGTTGCATGATTTACACTTGTCACATTTTTTATAACGTTGGTTGATTTCTTATTAGCATTTGCATTTGTGTTGTACATATTAACTTTATAACCAGCATGCTGTGGATACCGCTGCTGAGTCAGCGTATCTGATGTCGTTAAACCGGCTGCTGCGGGTAAAAACATACCTTGGTATTCATTTTTGACATCTTCTCCATTGCCGGAGCTTTGATTGTGGATATCTATATTATTATTATTGTTTGCCATTATATAAAGATGTGCATAGTTAGGGTTAAATGGTGTTTGTAGAGGCTGTTGAGCTTTAGATTCCTGCTGCTGTAAGTTCGTCAAATCACTGGGTAAGCTGTTGTAAAGAGAAAATGAATCGATAACTGAGCTGTCGGTCTTTGTATATTCATCGGGGTTACCGATTTGTTCGATAATATTTTGAGGGGTTAAATTAACTTGCACTTGTTTTTCGTTGTGTGGAATTTTTATAAGGGACATTGTGTACCTGACCGCACTTTCAGCAACTTTCGGTATCTGACCATGTATAGCGGTTGCATACTTTGGATAGTCTGTTTCCTTTTTAAATGTCAAAGGGAGTGCATGCATATTAACATTATGACTGAAAACGTGTGTATGCAAATTTATATTTTGATGATTGGCTTGCGTACCTACATGTACTTCCGGCGATTTTGACGGCTGTGGTGTTAACACCACGACATTATCAGAAGCATTTAAAGCTGAATAGGAGTACGGTGAGTATTTCGACAAAGAGGTCTCATTTTCCTGATTTTCTATTTGTTGCGATTGTTGTTGAAATGTAAAAACTTCTGGCAGTTTTTTAGCTGTATTTATTATTAAGTCATGCATCTTTATTAACTTATTATTATTATTAGATGCTAAATTCCTGTCATATATTTGTGCGCCCGTGTGAGTACTAGCAATATTATAATTTATAGCGTAATACCGTTTTTTTGATTTGTGCAAATCGTTAACAGAACTTAAAAGCCTTGTAGGCAGTAAACTTTTTAGTACAGAAAAATTTGTTATATGTGATGAAGGCATTGGTTCCAATTTTTCTATATTTGAAAGGACCGCTGGTGGCGGTGGGGTTAACAGGTAATCATAATTTTGATAATTTTCTGCTGGTAACGAATTATTTGCATAATAATTGCGGATAATCTGTTGGGTTGTTAATTTTGACGACAAATTATCCTTATGCTTCATTATTGGCTTCCGTTGTGAGTTCCAGTTTTGGGTTTGTGATTCCGGTTTTAGAGGTATTGCGCTTATATTGTTACTCATAAAAGGCTTACCAAATGCTTGAACGTGCTGCTTATACATTTTATCAAAATGTTTCACATTAAGATTTTGGCTTTGTTCCTCCAATTTCGCTAAGTTACTAGCAAGAAGACTTTGAGGATGCTGGATGCCATTCGGTTTACCTATAATAACATCAGAATTAGCTCTGATAACCTCTCCTGGTCTAATCGCTATACCGCTATTAATGAGCAAAATCTTAAAATTATTGGTTTGTGTTAACATATTCAAACTTTCTGATTTTTTACGGCTATTTGCATGGTGTGACAGGGTTTGTTTTTGTAGATATTTAATATCTGCATTTGATTGTAAATGCAATCTTTGCGCATTATACATTGCTAATGGATCCCCTTCTGCGCTTACAGCTGCATTATTAGATAATTTTTTTTTATGACTAACAATTTCATAATCTATTACTGGTATATATAAAGGCTTTTTCTGCTTTATTACTGCACCTCCATTTATTTCTTGATAATCATAACGCTTCGTACTGCTTAAATGTGTGCTGCTGCTAACGGATGCAATTTCTGTACCAGTTGACAACGGTGATGGAACTGAAGAACTACCTATTAGCTGTAACTGATTTGAAGCCGTAGTAAAACTACCTTGTAACAAGCCGGCCATAGCGTTTATAACTGGCCGTAAAGCATTCAAACGTTGTAAGTTCAGTGAGTCAATTATTTGACTGACTGCAACCGGTAGCCGAGTTTTGTTTTTCGTAGTTGTAGTAATGATAATATTATCAACCAAATGTAGTTTTGTCTGATTTTGTTGTGGTTTAGATGGTTTAAGAAACTGCGGTGATATGCTTGAATGGTATTCGTTGTATTCAGTGTCCGCACTTAATGTGTCCTCATCAAATACTGCATGCACTGCATTAAACAGTCCTGTAGAAGTGTTTTGTATTTTCGTGTCTGTAGTCGATATTTTTAACGTGGTGTTCAACTTTGTGCGTTTACTTAGCACATCACTCAACGTATGTATATTTTGCAAAGGAACGCTTGTAGACATGAGTACTGTTGTTTCCTCTGGTGTTAAACCATTTTTTAATTTTTCTTTCGCTGTGGCTAATGATGGTTTGAATATACGCATTGCTGTTATTTCTAACGTTTCACCGTTCAATAAGGAAGCAGTAGTTATAAAAATATGTCGTTCGGGCTTAGTAGTTTGCAATACGTCACGAAATTTTGAAACCAACTCATTGTGAAACAACGAACTCGGTACTGTTTCTGTGATTACATTTTCGATAATACGGGTGCGATAACTAACAGTGGAATGTAGCTCATTTTGTGCACTTTGTATTCGTTCAACCATCTCCGATGTTGCTAATTTTTTGAACGGCGAAATTCTATGCATCGTGGAATAATTTTCGTTATCACTCGTCTTTACTGATGTTGTTTTCAAATAAGTTAATGTTGTAACAAATGTTTTCGTTGTATATATATGTATATTGTATTTACTTTTTTTTTCATACAATACTGTTTTCGAATGTTTTATAGGTTCAGGTTTTTTATATGTTAATATCCCATTAGATTCGCTTTTAATATGTGCGGAATTAGGTCCAATGTATTTTAGCAGTAGCGAATTACATGGCGCCAGTGACTCTGTTACTATAACTTGTGTGAGTATGTTAGTGGTTACAAACATTTCTTCAGCATCATTCGTTTGTAGGATATTTGTAAATTTTAACTTGCTGTAATATGTATTAGTTTCGTATATAGGTGTAGCCTCTTCCGATGGTTGAAGAAAGTTTATGTAACCATCAGGCCCTGTTATCGTATTAACAATCGTATGCTTGGATAACTGTACCACTGAATGGCCATTATCATTTATTGTGTTGTAATAAAAATATGTCGTGGGAAATATTCCTATAGCTAACGAAGCCGTCTGTTAATTATAAGAAAGGAAAATGAAGTAAAAAATAAGGTCCAATAATATATATAATAGTGTTATAGTCTAAAATCTCGAATATAGTGGTCTACAAATATAAATATAATTGTGCTATGTGTAAGCAAAGTACAAATTTTAGAAAATACACTACTTTTTATGTAAAAGAAATTAAGCGGATAAAGAAACGACTACAAAACTATTTTTACTATTTTCATAAATCATAATGGATGGCTTAACATTTTTTAACAGAGCTAATATAACATTAAATGAATATTATCTGCCAATATGCTTTAAATTTGTTGAATGGTTTGAAATCTAACATTTGGAATCGCTCCAAAAGCTAAAGAACGTACTCCAACGAAAAACCTGCTTTGGAAATGGTTTTATACTTTCAGCAAGCAAACATTCTTGACAGAGAGCTGCAACGATCACAGCCTTTATTTTATGCTCAAGTCTATTATTGGCAATTGGGAAGTGATGAATACCATTGTAGAATGAACAAAGCCTACGATTGTTACATATCAACATAACTGTTGTTAAAACGGTAGTGGAAATGTGTGAGCATTTTGAAATTGTTTTTAAAAAACTGCAGCTTTGCAGTGCACCTTCTCTTTGCTATGTGTTGCCAGCAATTTTAACAATTAAAAATCTATGCCAGCCGGCAACCGCTGAAATACCGGTAATATTAACGATAAAAGAAAATATAATAAATAATATTAATGAAATATGGGTCCCTAACATCGGTATATGGCAAAAACTTGCTATTTTTTATATCTCCCAGCTTTAAATATGAAACCAACTGATTTAGAAGACATAAAAGTATTTTGCAATACTCGCATATTGACAGAAAATCAATCATCATGTCCAAATACAGCTTAATCGGATTCATCAACAACGGACAACCTTAGATACCAATAGCCAAGTTTCAGTGGGGAATAGAACCAACGACACTTTCTTTTTCTGAGGAAGAATTTGATAGGTACTGCAATGAAGAAGTTGTAATGGATGAACATTTTAATTTAATTGACTGGTGGCAAAATAATGAAAAGAAATAACCATTTTTAACAAAAATAGCATTGCAAATTCATTCGATTCCTGCCAGCAGCGCAGTTCCTGAGCGTTCTTTTCATTAGCTGGAAATATTATTACTGAAAAAAGAAATAGGCTCGGACCATGTTGAGTTGATAGCTTATTGTTTTTAAATTCATTTTATAAAAGTTTTAGAGATTAAGATTGAAACCAGAAAATAAACCTTTTAATTTTAAGTTTGTGTTGATCTCAATGAAGAAGTGATTAAAATTTGAAATTTGTGTTCCCTACTATTTTAAGCATTACCTTTGTTTATTAATTTTAAGCATTAATTGAATTTTAGTTTTAAGCGCTAAAAATGAAGAAATATATGCAGTAATGTTTTGGTTAATTTTATGCATCGCAACTTGTTTCCGCTAAGACACACAAATATGTACATACGAACTATGCACATACAAATTCTCGATCTGATTGGTTCCATCAGAATCAATTCAAATGCACACTTGATCGATGTCTGAGTTTTCGTCTTGGTACTCTGAAAAATAGATTCCTAGACACCTCTAAGGAAGCCTCTCCAAGAATGAGGTCCACCTACTCACAACTTTATATTTTTTCTTATTATCATATAGAAAATTGGTTGCTCAAAAAAAATGTCTGTACGATTATTTCGTAAACCCAACCGTTTAAAAGATATTAACAGTTAAAGTTTGATTATTTTTGGGAAAATTGTTTATTTCTTATGAATTTTATAACTTAATGAACTAAATCATTATGAATGATAAACAAAATAAAAAAAATTTTATAAATAATACTTACGAAATTTATTTGTAACTGTTTGTTTTTCATATTACTTTCTTGGGTTACTTACAAAATATAAAAAGCAACAGTTATAATAACTATGATCATCTCTATAATAATTAATTGTTTTGTGACTTGCTTACTATCACGTAACAAATTTGAAACAATATTTTTCGACTAGACTAGAGGTCGTATTGTGAATAGTAACTTAATACAAATTGTTTAAAATAGTGATTAAAAATTATTTAATTTACTAGAAACGTATTTTATTAGCTTTACATGTATGCTTGTGGCGGGTGTAACTTTTTTCAGCGGCACTGAAGCTGAAAGGAATAGAATCAACAGTATGATAGACACTACAAACAAAAAATAAAAAACGTCCCTAGAACATTCAACTATCCATACTGTTGCTTGAATAAAAAATGTTCTCAAACACGTCTTCAAAGAAATTGAAAACACTGAAGCCCAAAAATTCGTTAAAACAAAGTACTTTGCAAAGCTAGAAACATAATGGAAAAAACTTTTGGCATTTTGAATTGAAAATTAAGATGCTTATTATCAGAACGAGCGATAAATAATCTTCTAGAGCAAGAAACAAAACATAAAGTAATGAGTTAATAATATAATTAATACCAAACTCTTAATACTTTATACCCATTGCATGTCAATAGCTCTATATGGTATAGACAATTCTGTAAAACATTATATACATATACAATTCACAGTTTTAATTAATCTCGTAAGTTCTGTAACAAATCTACAGTATGAAAATGAATCACAAAATGTGTTGCTAAGCACATAACTCAACAACGACTGGACCAATTTTCCATACAAATTATATTTAAACAAAAAATTTTTTTTTTGTTTTCTATTTATTTACTGATTTATTTGTAAATTATCTGTCATTTTCGGTCGTTTGCTTTCTTTATTTCGGCTATTGAAAAGGTATATTATTGAAAACTATTCAGCGAAACCCTTATGTGTGTTTCATACAAAGTGATCAATAAAAAATTTAAATTTCAATTCAATTTGATTGATGAAACCATTTCTTCGGAAATTCCTGATGCAGAGAAAGATCCAGTATTGTACGAAGTGATGAAAACCAATATGGTTCATGGACCTTGCGAACACCACAATCCCACTTCGGATGGCTGACAATAGTTAAATGAACGACACATTATACACTAGGGTGGGTCGATTCCGACCTTTTTTCGATTCGGGATTTCTAATAGTGCGGAAAAGTTGCCCTAGTACTTCCTGGTTCCAATGCAACTTTTTGTTTTGAGATCGGATTGCATGTTCAACCCCAACTCCGGCCTTGAAATTCCGAAATTCGCCTAAAATTGTGAAATTGTCTACCTAGCGCCTGAAATACGCATCTCATGGCAAAATGTATAAARCAAAAGTTATTTGTCACGTCATTTGCTACCGGAATGGTAAGTGATCATGGCTGTAGGACAAACTATTCCCGAGATACGAGCGAAAATGCGGCGCGCCACAGCGCAAGGTGAAAATCGGCTTGCGGCCACACTCCTTGACGTTGATTTCGCCGAGTGCTATCACTCACATTCATTCACCTACGCCAAAGGACATGTTCGGATAGGTCTCCACACAAATATTTTTTCATTGAGTTCGTTCACTCTTGTCGTTGATTTCGCCGAGTGCTACCACTTATATTCTCTCAACAGAACACAGAACTCAAAATGTCTGTATCTAGATTTAAATTTAGACAGAAATGTTTTGTGTTTGGCATATATCCGTACAATCTCTCTGAGTCCCAGTTACCTACTCACCAGGATGTTCTTTTGTGTTATCAGTTTGAAAGATTTCGTATAGGGCGATACCGAGGCGACAACTATGAACCTAGAGTAACGAGGTTACAGAAATAGTTGCAAAAAAGGTTGAAAATACTTTCAAAAAGTCATCTATTGCGATAGTTTCACACACCAGAGTTGTACAAATGCTCACCACATACCATAAAAAAATTTCCGACTCTTAAACAAATGTTTTTAAGGAACCCAATAGGTTTGAGCTCTAAAAGAGACGACTTTGTCTCTTCTGCHKGAAAATTATTTGACATCGCTGCTTGTAAATGCATTTATTTTTCTTCTTGCACTTGTCYAAAKGAAAGGAAAGTTCCTATCAATGAACAACCATTTCTCTTGGACCAGAGTACCAGAAAAATTGGTCGTATTGGAAGTGTTGATCTACCTGAAACAAAAAAGATTACAAAAAAAAATGAACGTAAAGAAAAGCCTCCAAACGTCATTCAACATCAACACTTACCAGAAAAGTATCAGCTAGAACACGTGACCATTCAGATCAGCCAGACTCTCATAAAGACGACAACAATGTAGGTGCGTCGCACATGGATTCTTCCAAAAACGATACTGATGATGAATTTTCTCTTCCATCCTCTAAAACCAAACAAAACACACTAGTATTAGAACATACTGCTTTAGCTGCCCAAAGATTTGGAGTAAGTGATAGAGCAGCGGCCTTGATTGTTTCATCTGCTTTTCTGGATGCCGAAAAAGCAGGTTTGATAACAAAGGATCAGGCTAGCTTTGTCACTGACGAATGCAAGATTAGTCGGCCAAAAAAAAGTGTTGGAGTTAAGCTCCTAAACACCGAAAGTATTGACTCTGTATATGGGTTGTATTTTGACGGCCGCAAAGACAATACACTTACACAAGTCAGCGAAGGTGAAAAGTACTACCGCGACACTGTCAAAGAGGAACATATTTCTCTTATAGTGGAAACTGGTTGTTATTACCTTGGCTACGTCACCTCTCCTTCCGGGTCAGTTGAGGATGAAACGCAAGCTATATGGCAACATTTACAAGACAATTCAGTTGATGTGGAACATCTAGAAGTTATCGGTGCTGATGGCACCAACACGAACACAGGTTGGAAAGGTGGAATCATTCGGAAACTAGAAGAAAGAATAGGTAGGCTATTACAGTCGGTTGTTTGTCTTCTACATTTCAACGAACTTCCATTTTGTGCTCTTTTCGAACACATAGATTGTGTCTCAAAGAGTCCAAATACATTCTCTGCTCCCTGATTGTGAGAAGTTGCCTGTTGTCAAATTTGAAAGTTTTACATCCTGCCAATTACCTTCTGAGGTTATTAATCCGACCCAACTTAGCACAGACCAAGCTTATCTCTATAAAATATCAGAAGCTGTGATTTCCGGTCAATGTTCTTCAGATGTAGCGTCAATGCATCCAGGTAACATGTGCAAATCTCGTTGTCTCACCTGTGCAAATAAAATTCTGAGATTATACATTTCTACTGACAAACCAACAAAGGAAATAAAGATTTTGGTCAAGTRCATACTTACAGTTTACTCACCTTTGTGGTTTTCAATAAGATTCAACTGTTCAATCAAAGATGGCTCGCGCCATCTCTATGCTGCAATTCAAAGGTCGAGATACTTACCTGCTAAACTGCGCAAGGTTGTCGATTCATCCATTCAACAGAATGCTTTATTTGCTCTTCCAGAAAACATTCTCCTTAGTATGATGACTGACGAACGGATAGAAGTCAGAAAGTTGGCCCTTGACCGTCTTCTGGCAGCCAGAGAAGCAGAGTCTGATACTGTAAATGGAAGGGTTAGATGTAATAAAGTACCAAAGCTGAATTTCAAAGCTAATAATTATTACGATATGATTAACTGGAAGACTATTACCTTGACTGTTCCACCAGTTCTTTGTTCAGTTTCTAACGAAGAACTCATAAAAGGGATGTCGGGTTACACTGCAGGGGTATGGAAATTAGTGAATTCCCCTCTCACACCGTGGCAGGCGAGAGAACCGTCAAACTGGTGACAGAGGCATATTTTAAAGTTATTGGCCCCATTCTCGTGATCTTTTTATACGCTCTAAACTGAAATCTAGGCAACAAGTGCCAAAGTTTAGTACATAATCTGATTTTATCAATAAATTTGACACGGATTCAGACTAAAACAAGCATGACATATGGTCGGTTGGTTGGGTTCGGCTTGGGAGGAACCCGAAGAGCAGCTACCTCCACGAGGTAGGTTCTGCGTGACCAATACAGGTTAGCTGAGAGCTGCAACAATTTTCACCTTGCGCTGTGGCGCGCCGCATTTTCGCTCGTATCTCGGGAATGGTTCCTCCTACAGCCATGATCACATACCATTTCGGTAGCAAATGACGTGACAAATAACTTTTGTTTTATATATTTGGTAATGAGCTGCGTATTTCAGGAGCTAGGTAGACAATGTCACGATTTTAGGCGAGTTTTCGAAATTTCAAGGCTGGAGTTTCGGTTAAAGATGCAATCCGATCTCAAAACAAAATGTTGCATTGGAATCAGGAAGTACTAAGGCAACTCTTTCGCACTATTAGAAATCCCGAATCGGAAAACGTCCGGAATCGACCCACCCTAGTGATTATCGAGGTCGAAAGCACATGGATCGTCCCATGTTCACCACTGTTGTCTAATTCACATTCAAGACGTATGTCAATGTTTATTATTGCGGTTTGGTGAAGTCGATCAAATACGTCACCAAAGAAAGCAACATGGCGGTTATTGGCCTTGAAGGAGATGACATCAGCATGTCTGAAATGGGTCGATACGTGAATTGCAATACAGCGCTTTGAAGGATATTTACTTTTGCAATTCATGAACGTTTTCCGATTGTTGTGCGTCTCATTTGGAGAATGGCCAAAGAGTGTACTTGAACTCAGGGAATACATTACAGCCAGTGGAAACATCGCCAACATCAAACTTGACTTTGACGAGTGTTTTCTGAACTTGCGTCAGTGATCTGTTTGTGAGAACATTGCTCTATTCAGAAATGCCTTTATATTATACGTGGAATGCACCGTCGAAGAAATAGTTACGCAGATAGCAAGGCCAACCAGTAGATTGACATCCAGGTGTGTTCTCAACTTAGACCTAAGGACAAATTTAGACAATCCACCAGAAAAACGATGATTGCTTCTACTTTCGGTTCCTATTGGCTAATGTACGCGGTTCAACTTCATTTGAGTCTTTCCGTATTGTGAATTGTACGGTGTGTGTAACTTTTTGAGAAGCCTGCTACCAATTACACTTGCTGAAACATGATAATCACTGAAATGAAATGATGAACAATACGATAGCTACTTCGCATGGAGCTGAAGTTCGTACATTTTTCGCGATGATCATTTCGATATATCAGCTTTCAAATCCGCGTCAATTGTGGGATACGAACAAAAATGACATTGCCGAAGACATTTTACATAGTATTAGCTAAGTATTGGAAATGGAAAATTTCGGTTGATACTTCCAGTGATATCAAACAATTTCACCTGCCTTTTGTCAAGAAAACTCATATATAAAATTACCACTTATTTTTTCACCTACTCCGGAAATAAGATTTTCAGAACGCAATGTTTTACTAAAAACGGGGATCGCAACTTTATTTCAGGCTGATGATAAACATTGTAATACAAATCTCTCTGGTCGGATACCAATGGAGGTTGTACGACTATGTTTACACAATTATAAAAAGGAGACACTCGAAAATTATATGATATGTTGATTTAACTGCTGCGCGCCGAAGATCGCCAGATATAGAGAGGTGGTGGAGCTGCATGCCGAATACGAAAATATAAGGAAAATCCCGCCGATGTTTATTGATCGAAATCGGTGGTCGAAAAGGGACGTTCACTTCCAGGACGAAGCCTTTTTTCTCATTGGGCGGTGGTGGATTAGTAGCTGCGTGTACTGGTGTGTGTGTGGAGTTTTCTGCTGCTTCCAATGGATGTGTGGTGTGTCGGGAAACTGCTGTCTTCATGTGTGGTGTATGTGACAGTTTTGCTTGTAAGTGGTGTGTTGTGTGGTGTAGTGTACCTTCTGGAAAAACCCTGTACAATAATTTTTTGGTCAGTATTACTATCAGTTTATATTAGGTATACGTACAACATTGCTTCCGCCGTTTTCCAATAGATGTCTCTAGGGTCAAGCACTGGTCGGTTAAATCGATTAAATTGTTTTATAGGGGGTTTGGACATTTGTGTCAACATTAACCCAACAAAATTTTAAGGGCTATTTATCACTTTTTGGATTAAAGTGCTTTAAAAGAAATAACGAATAATCTTTTTGCTGAAAATTCTTGTAACAAACAAATAATTTTTTTGTATTTAGTACCTTAAATAATAAACCAATCGGATTTGTCGGACTCGGTTTGACGGTCAAGAAATAGTGGAAAAAACAGTACGGGACATAAAATAAATTCGAAATAAAAAGTACTGTATTAATATTTTCTTATGTTTTGTGTTTCGTTCATTTTCAACGAAATGTAAAACCGGGGGATTTTTTTGAAGAGAATGATCTTCCAATTTTATCATTCTTAAGGCAAAACAACGATACATTGGCAATAAGGAATGGAGTTAAAGTTTTTCCAAAAGAAAATAAAGTTCAATTATATGCTTATACCTTTTCAAATGAATATTTCGTATTCAATTTTCTGTCAGCGAAAGCAAACGCAGCCATCTTTATTATTCAGTATAATCTCTCTGAACAGTAATACACATGCTCCAACGATTGTTTAATCTGTGGAATCCATCCCTGAAGTGAGAATCCGGAAGGTCTGCAAAATACGATTCAACAAATGGAAGTCGCAATGTCCAAATGCTCTTGTGACACAGTGCATTGTCTTGTTGAAAAGGATTTCCTCTTCTGCAAACCTTGAATTTTTTCACTATTTTTTTTTTTTTGTTTGTTGCATAAATATTCAGAATTTATTATTTTACCAATTTTCAAGTAATCCATAAACAAAATTCTTCACGCATCCCAAAAAACTGATGACCTTCTTGGCCGATTTCCGGACACGAACTCGTTTCGAAGCCGAACAACCAGGTTCACACCACTATTGAGCCTATTTTTTTGCTTCAGAATCGGGGTAATAGACCCAAGTCTTGTTCATAGTGATGAATCGTTTATGCGCCGATCCACTTCACCTTTTCAAAACGCTCCAAATGTTGCTGAGAAAGTCGCACTCGAATGTGTTATCGTTCCATTGTTAGCGAAAGCGGAACCCATTGTGCACACAGCTTTCTAAAACCGAAAATTTAATTTAAAATATAGCTTGCACTGCCTAAGGAGATGTGTAGAGCCTCTACTAAATCTCTCCCAGTCAATCGACGATCTTCCATAACAGTATCCTGTATTTTGGCTATGATTTCTGGTGTTGTTGCGCTTTTTGGACGTCCTTCACGTGGGTCGTCTTCAAGGCTTGTACGACCGCGTTTAAATTCAACAACCCATCTTTCTTTTATTCTAATTATTATGAACAATCATCATACACTTTTAACATTCGTTCGTGAATTTCTATTGGTTCTACACCTTCCAAAAATAAGAATTTTATTACTGCATGACATTCAATTTTTTCCATTGTATTTATTTATTTAAAATTTACTTGTAAATAAATTTACAGACAGACAAGAAAACGAAGGGAAACCGGTTGCTTAGGCCTTCGCTCCGTTGTAAAAAATACTGTGACACGGCGACACTAAATGGCTTGTAAACAAAGAATGAATAGACAGATTGAAATGAAACTTCACATACGTTCATATGAAGAGTGTACCAACAAAACCAAGAAAAAAAAACTGGGCTAGTATGAACGCCCTCTCTTATAGAACGACAAAACTTATTGAAGTAACTGACCTGACAATTGGTGTGTTCGTTATTTTTGAATACTTCAATACAATACAATAAACATTGATTTGATCTGTAGGTAGGTAAAATAATTCAACTGTGCTTTAAAAGTATTGTTGCGTTTTTGAGTTATGCGCTTTGCAACAAATTTTGCGATTCATTTTTATATATAAGACAGTTATCGCATAACTCAACAACGCCTGCAATAATTTGCCCAATTCTTTTTTCTAAAGGTTCGCTAAGACTCAACAGCCGTTATGACCTTATGAGGTTTTTACGGCAAGAAAAATTCGAATAATTGCCGGAAAACCACTAAAAACAGCCCTTTTTATTTTCCCATACAAACGAATGAATGTTTGTTGGTTAGCAACGCTAAGAGAACGACTGTACCAATCTTGATGAAATTTTCAGAGGTTGTTCCCTGTGGATCGGGGATGGTTTGTAAATAAAGGTCTTAAAATTGGATAGTTCCAAAAAGTAACTTTTTTTTTCATACAAATTTTATTTTCAAATTTTGTTGGTTTTGTTTTTCAATATTTTGATTTGTAAATTATTTGAATCGTTCAATTTCGGTCGCTTGCTTTTTTATTCCGGCTATTCAAACGAAAAATTTTTGAAAATTATTCAGTGAAAACTTTATGTGTGTTGCAGATTGAAATTTGTTACGAAACCACGAAGAGGTCGCCATAATATTGGTTCGGCGCTCTTTTTGCCATCGACGTATGGCAGCCCAAGGCAAGGCAAGACGTACGCCCAGGGTGCGATGACATACGTGCGGAAATATGTCTCACAGCGCCAATTTTCAAACAACAGTTACGATGTTTCTTGGACTTTATCTTGGAGTAATGTAGGTATATGTGGTGCTGTTAGATGCTAGATGTGCTCTGTTGAGTGGCAAAAGAGAGGTTTGTCGCAAGTACACATTATTCTTTGGATGGTCGATGGTGGTTACACCAGATCAAATTGATGAAACCAGTTCTGCGGAAATTCCTGATGCAGAGAAAAATACAGTATTAAACGAAGTGGCGAAAACCAATATGGTTCATCGACCTTGCGGACACAACAATCGTAACTGTTTGTATGTCTGATAATAAATGCACGAAACACTATCCACGTGCTTTTCTTTCGGAAACACAAACTTGAAATGATGAATACCTACTCTATCGGAGTCGCTCACCAGACAACAATGGCAGAACATTCAGCATTCAATTTAGTGAATAGTGAATAGTGAATACCGAAGTTGACAATACATGGATCGTACTATATTCACCATTATTGTCTAATTCACATTCAAAACTCATATCAATGTTGAATATTGCAATTTGGTGTAATCGGTAAAAATACGTGTGTAATTACGTCACCAAAGGAAGCAACATGGCGGTTATTGGTCTTGAACGGTACGGTCGATACGTGAACTGCAATAAAGCGCTTTGTAGGATATTTATTTCTGCAATTCATGAACGGTTTCCGACTAATGTTCGCCTCGCAGTTAATTTGGAGAATGACCAAAGAGTACAGTACAGCCAGTGGAAACACCGCCAGCAACAAAATTGACATTTACGGGTTTTTTCTCAACCTTCGTCAGTGATCTGTTTGCGAGAACATTGCTCTATTCGGAAATACCTTGATATTATACCAGGAATGTATCGTCAAAGAAATAGTTGCGCAGAGAGCAAGGCCAACCAGTGGATGGACATCTAGGTGTGTTATCAACCGAATCCACCCGAAAAACGACGATTGTTTCGACCTTCGGTTGCTATTGATTAATATACGCGGTTCAAGTTTATTTGAGTGATTGCGTACTGTGAATGGTACGGTGTGTGCAAGTTTTGGAGAAGTAAGCCAGCAATTACAATTGCTGGAGCATGTTAATCACTGCAATGAAAATGAATTCCGCACATTTTTCGCGATGATCATTTCGACATATCACCATTCAAATTCGGGTCAATTATGGGATACGAACAAAAATGACATTGTTGAAAACATTTTACATCGTACAAAGTAATTACAAGGAATTGGAAATGGTCAAATTCCTGATATCAATTCACCTGCCTTTGTCAATTCACAAGGTATTGGAAATGGTCAAATTCTTGATATCAATTCACCTGAATTTGTCAATTCACTTCAACGAAAGATGACCTCGTTCGCGAATTGTGCCTCTCACGTCGGTTGGGCGGGAGGAGGGTAATCGTTGGGTATCATTATTAAATTACCGTAACTACGATTCCTTAAGTGCACGCGCATTGTTAGCTGCCAAAAATACCGATTTTGTTGACTTAAACTGTAAGATTCAAAGTCAAAGATAATGAAGACGACGTCGTGAACTATCCAGTGGAATTTCTAAATTCTTTGGACAGACAAAGGGGCAGAATGCTTGATTCTAAGAATATTTTGAGTTCTAACGATTGCCGTTTCAGTTCAAACGTATTCCGTTTTTAGGCATAAATTAGGAAATGCTATATTTTTCACACAGTCAGACATGCGTGGCGTGCTCACGAATTGGAAAACCATCTTTTCTGTACATCGGAACAGAAACCCAAAAATGTTGTTTATCAAGCTGCGTTATATTGAAAAAAATATTAAATGAATAATTTAAATGATAAATAATTTTTTTTTTTTCATTTCAAAACACATAATTTCACGCAGGACAACGGCTGCCGGGTCACCTAGTAACAATATATAAATAGTTGTTTATATATAAGACAAAATATTTCATAACGCTAATATTTGCGTATATCTTTCGAAACCGCGATTTTACCATTGTGACTAAATACTTTACATATATTTTTATTCGAGTGGAGTAGTGATTAGCCATTATAATGAACCAGTAAAATACCTTTTACTTACTTGCGTCAAAGTTAAAACCAAGGGTAAAGGTGGTGTTATCTCCATATAGTTACGCTGTTCCGTAGCTATATTAGATATAACTTGCTCCCGGCTTTCAACAGTTGTAGACCCATTTTGAAGATATGTTGTGCGGTAAGTATAAGTCGTTAGGCAGGTTTTCGTCACAAACTGATTAAAATCAGCTGGCAAATAAAAATTTTCCTGTGGAAAATGCATAAGAAGATAAGAAGAAAAAGTATATAATAAAATGTAAAAAAGGAAATAAATGTTGTTCATTTAACTAAAAGTTAACTGAGGTAGATGCCTTGGCTAAATGCAAACAAAAGTTATTGATTATGCTAAAGGTAAACAAAAGGGTTATTAACCCCGTAAAATATAAACAAAGAAGTCATTGAGCTGTCCAAGTTACCACTACAATCTACGAATATATCGGATCGAACCAATATAGAATATACCTGCCATGCAAACTGATAGCAATGTCACGTTAAAGATCTTTTTATACTCTTATATGCTACATAAAAAAATGTACCTGTGAAGGGTATTGGAGCTTCAGTGAAACTGAAGATAACGTTTCATCTTCTTCTAATTTTTGTTTAATTCTATATATGTTTTAGATTTTGTATTCTTATATAGTTTTAGAAGTTGGAGTTTAAACGGGTTAAAGTAACCGAAGGGATATTAATATAGCTGGTATATGTATAACATCTCACAGAAGCTATGTGCCAAACCACAATGTATATTAGGGGTATTCAGATCAGCTTTGTTAATTCGTTAGTCGTTACTCGGTAGTTTTTTACGTGGGTTTTGTTTTTGTAAAATTAACAGTTTATCGTTTTACCGAGTAACGAAGTACCAGACTGGTAAGCATTATTATTTTTTCGTTTCTTGGTAACATCACTCAGCTGTTTTGTTTGCGTTGTTGCCTCAAAAGTTAACTTAATTCATTACTGTCTACTACAAATTAGTTTATGACAAATTTTTCAAAGGTAAGTATTTAATATAATTGAATCCGCTGATTTGAAACAAAGTTTACACCCACTACTGATGTACAGCAAAAAGTATTTTCACAGTTAAGTTTTTTAACGAAGTATCAACTAACAAACTACCAGATTAACAAGTACGGTCTGAATACCCCTATTGATTAATCAGTTAGCTTAACATTGAAATGAACATCAATATTTTAGTAAAAGTGATACGTACACATACAAGTAGGAACGTTTACCTATTGCAATAATCGAGAGCCAACTCCGCTAGTTCTCGGAGGATTATTGTTAGATTTACATTGTGTATTAAGCTTTATTTTGATTTATTGTGGTCTAAGCTATATATTGTTTAGTTTGGTGGAATTCAAAATTATTTCATAATTTATTTATTGCAATAATCGAGAGCCAATTCCACTAGTTCTCGTGTATTAAGCTTTATTTTGATTTATTGTGGTCTAAGCTATATATTATATATCCAGTCATCTATCCACCTACTCCAATTGTCAAACAGTACTGTTCGTATGACTGATATCCTTATATTTCTTCCCTTATTTTTAGAGCCAAAGAAAATATATTTACAACTTGCTTAAAAACTTACCTGATTTGCACTTTGTGTTGGCATTGCAAGTATTATTTTATTCTTTAAAGTACTTGGCGTTAAAGTCATAGGACGGAAAGAAGATTGGCTTAGCTCGCTATATAATTGCTGTGGAACATGTTGCTTTTCCTGTTGTTGTGATAAGTCTTTAGACACCATCTTAACAGAAGATGGCTTACTCTTATCATTGGCAATAATAAGTTCAATACCATTCCACATAACTCGCGTAGCCAAATTAAAACGGGCCCCTTCTAAGAATTCACCTATTTCTTTCTCTTCGTCTAGTTCCGACAAGCTTGCTGAGTCGTCATTGAACTCGGGAGCATAGCTCACAACCTTTTTTATGTACAAAACACTCTAATTAGACATGGTGTAAATATTGTCAGATTTGCCGGCGAAGTCTGTATATCGTCGGATTAATGTTTTGATATTTACCACGGTGTTTAAGCTTCTATCCATACTGGAAGTCCTAGTGGAATGCCCTGAGTGCTGTCTAGTTTGCCGTTGTATGGAGGCATTAATGCCATTTCCTTGCCTTCTGTAGCCGTTTTCTGCAGTTACTGGTGAAGAGTTGTAATTTCGTATTTATTCACTTTGCAAATCTATTAAATTTTTTTTTTTTTTTTTTTTTGGAATAATTATGAAGTCCGAACATTACTTTATAAATGTGGGATAATAAAAAAGCTATTTCAAAAGAATTGCGACAACTGAAAATCGGCTCTGTTTGATGAAATTAGCTAAATTAATAAATTTATGTTATTAATGGTATAAATAGGGCTGTGATGTTGTTGCAAGTGTTGGAAAAACTTGCGTAGAACGTGATACTTGGAAAAATTTGCAACACTGCTGTCGTGATTGCCATCTCGACCACACCCATACTATAGTTAAAATTGTGAATATAGGAGACAAGTGAATTTTAGAGGGAATTTAAACAGTTTCGTTAGGGACAATTGACAAATGACAATTTGATCATAAGGGGGCATATTCTACAAGTTTCTTCGCGTTATATTAATTGCTTCTTGATTTGTGTACTGGAAAGTGAAAGAATCAAATGTAATTTAGAATTGTGCTATATGGGAATTTGGGGTGGTTGTAGTTCGATGGCATCGGGGAAGAATTTAATATCTTATTGATTAATAATTTATCGCGATTTTTGTAGTTTTTAACAGTACCGTTATATAAGAAGCGGACGGGGTTATCATTTAATTAATTTGTTCTCGATTTTCTACCAGAAAACAGTTGTTTCAAGTTTCATCAACATATCTTAATTTTTTCTTAAGTTATCGCTTCGACGGACGGACAGACAGACAAATAGTTACTTGGATTTCAACCGATCATGTATATACATATATATATCCCTATACTCGATTATTTTGAGTATTTTAGAACAAAACTCTGTAGCAACATGTTGCAAGAGTATAACAATCGAATTTACCATTCATATCATATTTGATTATTATTACTAGTCGGTTTGCTGACGCCAATTGGTATATTGGTATATATAAATTTTAAAACGTGCTAAGTAACATTTCAATAAATATTAAGTAATGCAATTTTCTCAGTTTCTAAAGTGATTATTTGGAATTACTTTTCACATTCGTTCAATGTTACTGATTGTTATGCCAGTCAGATCTTCAAATTGGTCGATAGAGCTCGTAAAATCGGTTCTAGCAGCAACTGAATACTGTGTAAGACAGAACTTGCAAATACATTAATAGAGTTTCATGGAGAACCTTCTCCGAAATTGTAAAAGTGTGTCAAAAATCTTCAAGCATTGGGGACATTTTCGCGAAAAACCCTATCCAAGAAAATTTTTGGAGCAACAATGAGGAATTTAATTACTAAAAGGTGCCTTTCAAAGTAAACTTTTCGAATCTAGCGCCCCCTGGTGGCGCCATCTATATGTCGACTGGTGCGTTAGAATCTGCTATCTTTATCGATTGTCCAGTGAGAATTTCATGACATTGCAGGGATGGATGATTTTAAGTGTCAGTATGTTTGTGTTATTGGTGCGAAAATGAGCTTCGAACGAAAAGCCAACACTAAATTTTGTTTTAACATTAGTAAAACTTTTACCGAAACGTTTCGTTTGATGAAAAAAGTTTATTGCGATGATTGCCTATCCCGTAGCAGAGTGCACGAGTGGTTTCAACACAACAAAATGGTCGTGATTACATAAATGACGATCAACATGTGGGCAAATTCCATCGAAACTATGCGTAAATTCTTTAAAAGTCAACCGAAATCATCATCATTGAAATTTATGAAAATAGAATTGTACATCTCCAAAATATCGATTTATCGCATTTTGAGCCAACATTTGAGCTTAGGAAAGGTGTGTGCACACAATTGACCTCCAAAAATTGCTCAGAATTCAACATTCGAAGGACATTATTAAAGAGGTCAAAAAGGACAAAAACTTCGTTTGCAATATTGTGACTGGTGACGAAGGTGCTGTTTCCAATATGATCCCGAAACGAAACGCCAGAGTGCTGAATGGAAGGTACTGGACGAGCCGAAACCCATAATGTCGCGCATGGAGAAGTCAAAAGTGAAGACAATGCTGATTAGTTTGTATCATTTCAAGGGTATTGTCCACAAAGAATTTGTTCCACTCGGCCCAAACGTATTCTACCTTGGAGTTTTAAAGCGTTTGGTACGTCGTATTCGACGTGTTTGGCCCGAATATAGCGAAGATGAAAGTTGGCGTTTGTTGCATGATAATTTTTTTTCTTTTGGACCGTGCAAAAAGCTAAATTGAAGCAGAAGGAGATTATTTTGAATACAATAAATTGATTTTGCCGATAAAACTATTTGTTCTGTTTTTTTTTTTAAGTCCTGTTTATTTTGGAACGCACCTTGTATTTAAAAATACTCATCAGCATTTTATTGTGCACTCCCGGGTACATCGCCCTATTTCATTACATAAGTATGTAATGTATGTTATGTCGTCAGCATAAGTGGATAGTAGACTGCTACGCAAGTGCACTTGAAATCACCGAAGATGCGAGTGATATTATTTACAGAAATGCAATTGTTGAAGTTGTATAGCAGCAGAGCGAAAATACACAAAAAAACATTTCGTTCTCTCAGCATAACAGACGGTTTTGATGCTTGAAATGCTTCATTACATTACATAAATATTATTTTTATTGCCTAGTTCAAAAGCAATGAGTTCATCATGTATTTACTGGTAAAAGCCTGTGCTGTATCTATAAAAAATAGAAATCAAATCTTAGAAAATCCTTTCGATTTAAATTTTTATAATCGAAGTGCACTTAAAAACTTATTCAAAACTATAATATGTAGTCATAGTATAATTAAAATACTTTTACATTAATATAATTTTATGAATTGTGGAAATAAATAATGTAACTTAAATTATTAAGTACGTTTTTGAATATTTTTATATTAATAATAACACATAATCCAACATATTTTTAATATTTCATGCCAATTCAAATTATATATTCATAATGAGTTAATATATTCGCACAAACTTTTTAGCAAATGTGTAAAATGATTTTCCTATGAAATATTTAAAAAAAATAGCATATATCGAACTCAAATTGCCATTTGACTTGGTTTTCATTGCCTGTATTGCCTTTTCCTTTTCTGCAATATTGTTTTGAAACAACAATAGGGGTATTCTCTTGCAAAACCCTTGCACGGTGCACGAATTGCAGATAATTCCTCTTGGTGCACCGGCACAGCAACAAACACAAGCAGAAAATTATTTGCAATGGATGTAAAATGTGTCAGACCAAACCCCGTGTTTATTTTCGTGCACGTAAAAAAATAATTTCAACCCTGTAATTGCTGTCATTTTACTTAAATACATATTTTGACTATAAATTGTTGAGGAAGGTATATTTTAAATAGGTTTTATAATTTCTATTCAAATTATAAAGACTTGTTACATTTTCTTTTTTAAGAATGAATGCAGAAAGTGCGCCAATTCACAATAGCCATACACAATAGTTATTTACTATAAATTAACCGAATTAGCCATTTATATATCACTAGATTCTGCAATGGGTGCTCTCGGGCCCTTGCATATTTCGGTATAGGATTTTTGCAATCTGCAATCTTGAAAGAGCTCTTGCTCTCTCCCTATTGTGGTGTTACGTTAAACGATTGAATGACTAGAATCACTGACAAATGGAAGATCAGCATTAAATATTGTGTAAAGAACAAAGCACTACCCCGTGGTATACTTGCAAGGAGAGTAATAGATAGAAAAATTAAGTAGAAAATATTTTTTATTTTTTTATTTTATGTAGCACACTCGGACAAATACCTATTATATTCCAAAAAAATATTTATATACCAATAACCCAAACTGATTTTGGGAATTCTTTGATTTCAAACACAGTAATTTTACGAATTAGAAGACACATCTGTTAAGGTACAATCTGAAACTCTACCTGTTTTATTTCATTGTCGTCAGGCGTAAAATTTATTGAGAGCAAATGTTGTGTAAACGTCTCAACCATATCAAGCGGTTTTACAACATTATCTGATAAAATTACGTATAGCAATACTTCGCTTAGTAGATTATTTTAAATATTTGGTGGGTCTTTAAAGGCTGTGTTCATAGTCCAAACTTTTTATTTTATTTTATTTTATTTTTTTTTTTGTATTTACAAGAGAGTTGATTATAAATAATTAATTCACTAAGTTTAAGCGCTGGCTACTGAGGCCTTATATTACAATATTATAATTACAATATTATAAGTGTCTATAAGTATCTAACATTGGTTTAATTACAATTAAATTAAGTTTGATATCTTACATATTTTTAGGAAATTGTTGATTGCCCTGATGTTGCCAGAATTTAATGTCTTTAAAAGATTTGATGGTTTCGCTTTACCAAATGTATTTGTCCTAGATGTATTTAAAGCGGTGCATTCATTGATATATTTGGCTGATTTAGCCGTTTCGTTTAAAAGATGACTGTAAGTTTTGAAAGTGTGGCCTATTCTCAGGCGAACAAACGTTTTCATTATCTTCGCAGGAGTAATCAGTTGGGTAGTTTGGCTTGTTAGCAGAGAGATTATGTTCCTTGTAATGATGTTGAAAATTTGACCAATCTATCGATGCTGACTCGTGGACAACTTTTTTTACTATGTTGCGAGTGTCTTTCAGCGTACAATGATCGAATGAAAGTAGTGGTTCTTTTCCAGCCTTTTTTGCACGGCCATCTGCAAGTTGGTTTCCTCTAATACCAATATGCTCAGGGATCCACATAATCTTAATTCTATTTTTGTGTTGCTACAAAATTTCTTTTATATTGTTGATCAGCACTGAGTTTGTCTCATTCAAAATAGCGTTAATTGTCGATTTGCTATCCGTACATATGATATAATTTTTTCCTGTTTGTGGACAAATAGAACCGCTTCATATATCGTAGTCGCTTCAGCTGTGAATATCGAGCAGTACGTTGGTAAAATTCCGACGGTTATGGTGACACCTTGGTCGTTTGTTACCGCAAACGAAGTGTGGGTGTCTGATTTGGATCCGTCGGTGCATAATAATTTCCACTCCGGTTTATACTTTACTCTGCGTCATTGAATAGCTGGATATATTGCTCTGCATTGGTGGTTGTTTTTTTGAAATTCGAATAACGTACTTATTATGGACGATTTCAGCGTTAGCCAATGCGGGTGAGTGTTCATATGAAACTGATTGATAATATTCAAGCAATTTATGATAGTAGATGGCTTGTTGTGTTTAGGATTTGTTTTCAGTGGATTAAACAAGATCGAGTTTTTACACTGCATGAACTTTGGTATGAGCACTATTGTGTTGAATTTTGTTCTATGATGAATGTTTGGGAGACCTGCTTCAGTTAGTACTACTTTGGTTGGTGAGGTGGGGAATGCGCGAATGCTTCTTCTTGCCGCTATGTGGTAAGGGGTTTCAATGAGTGTGAGGTGCTTTTTCGCACAATGTCCGTAAATTGCGAGTCCAAAATCTATTTTTGACGACATCAGTGCTTTTGCGATATTTACAAGTGTTGAGATGTGTATGTGGCAGTGTTCTGATGAAAGAAACTTAATAATGTTTAATCTATTGAGTAGCTTAATCTAACATATTTACAATGTTCCTTAAATGTTAGCTTTTTATCAAATAATATACCTAGTATTCTTAAGACGTTAGTAAGTGGGATTTGAGTATTTTTAAGGGAAAGATTAGGGAAGGTGCAATTTCTTTTTCTGCAGATGTGAATTGTTGAACTTTTGTTTGCAGAAACGTTCCTGTCGCTTTAGACCATTCCATTATATCGGTCAGAATATTAGTAAAATTGATTTCGACTTCGTTCAAGTTTTTTAAAGCCGAGAATATTAAAACATCGTCAGCGTAGATAAGATGGTCAACGTTGCGGTATGAGGCTATTAAGTTGCTGAGTTGATTAAAGGCTATAATAAATAACGTTGCTGAGAGAGGAGATCCTTGTGGTACGCCGTTATGAAGGGGGAAAATATTAGAGTTGAAGTTGCTTACACTTACTGCATTGTGGTGCATATTGTGGTGGTTTTATTTTCGTTGCTTCGTTGTTCGTGTATTATTTTAGAGTCAGATGGTGCAGATGAAATAGGAGTAGAAGGAGAGATTTGCGCTCCTCTTTGGGTATCTTGTTTGTTATTAGAGAGATCTATGTTTGTCGGATTGTTAAGTATGTTAGCGAATGAAGGAGATGTAGAATTAAAAACATGTGGTATTTGTGCTTTGTGAATATTTACTGCTTCGCGAAATGAGCATTTATTATCTGTTTGAATTGTTATAATTTTTTTATTTCGCTGAACTTTGGACACAACTTACTTGAGGCGGCGTGTTCAGCAGAACAATTTACACAGAGAGTGCGAGTACAGGGTGAGGGGTTGTGTGTTGGTAATGCAAATGTGTCCAAGGTAGGGATCTTATTGCAGCGTTTTTTGTATGGCCCAGAAGTTGGCACCTTTTGCATCTAATTGGGGTTGGGTAGTAGGGTCTTACCTTGGTTGTATACCATGATACATAAATTTTTTCGGGCAAGTAGTAGCGATCGAAGGAAAAAACCACGTCACTTGGGGTGGGTTGACCATTTATATATTTTAGAATTTTGTTGTAACACCCTATTCTTTCAATTTTCAATTATTTCATTGTCAGAGACTTGATTTAAACACAGAGCGTAGATAGTGCCTTTTGACTAGTTTAAATTTTTATGTAGTTCAATTTTTACATCACAAATACCAAAGAGGTGTTTTGTTGCTATGAATTTTTTTACTAGGAGTAGTAAATTGCCGTCTTTTAATTCACTAATTTTTATTATGTCAGAACCAATATGTTTAAGGGCTTTATGCACAGCGAAGCATGAAAATTTATTTAAAGGTTTGCTTGTTTCACTTGAACTTACCACAGCATACTTAGAGCTATCTTTTTTTGTTGTTGGTAAAGGAGGAAATAATTCATCCTTCGATAATTGCTCCATTTTTTCCTTTTTGTTTGGTTGGGGACTAGAAGATAATAGGGCGAACCTATATTTTCTAAAGTGGTCCCCCAAGGGGGCATTTTCTTAACTATTTTAATTTAATTAAGATAATTCACTAAAATTCACTAAAAAATTTGAGAGAATAGAGTGCGATGAGGAATGAGATAATGAACTATTCCGAATTCGCAGACAATACAATTGGGAGCCCAACCGTTTGCGTCGAGTGTCAGTCGACTGAGTCCAAACTTTAAAAAACTCTGCAGTTACTTATTTGTTTGAAGTTAGTTTGATGCTGCATTGTACGTTGATTTTTCTGTAGAACATCTACTCGTTTGCCACATTTTCCGAAACTTCCGCGTTTTATTAATAAACTGAAGTTCAGTATTCGATGTAGCACTTTTAGCTGATGCAGTTGGTCTTTTACTGCTTCATGAATTTTTGCATGTTTTCCGTGTACCTCTCTAAAAGCGTTTTGAGTGATATATCAGTTTCGCGTCTACATAACAATTAACACTGGTAAACAAAAATACACTTGTTTTTTGTTACATGAACATAACAAAGTGTTTATTATGTAAAACATGCCGCAAATTCAAAAAACAGCTACATATTTCTTCTATCAGCTATATGTTTTTCTATGAGGATTTTTGTTAAATAAAAACAACGACGGATATATTATAGTTATATTATTTTTTTAACCAAAGGGTACCTTAAAATGTTACTGTTGATGTTTTTCGGCGATATTTTGTTTTTGAAGTATCTCTTAACAATATCCAGCAGTAATCGGCAAGCAAACTGGCACTGCACTTGCCTTGATTTCTCCATATCAGAAATGTCTTGGTGGAACCAAATGTTCCTCACTTACGGCAATAAATTTTCGGGGAAAAATCCGGATGGGAGCCCAGAAAGTGATTTTTAAGGGTCATGTTGTAACACGTTTTTTAAGGTAGCAAGTAGTTCACTTTTTCACGCAAGTGAGGAAAATTCTCTAATCGCTATTCACTTGGGATTGGTTAGAAACGATTCTTTTACATGTGACTCAAGCAGCTCACGACTTCCGATCTTTGACCAAGTATCCTCTGGGTAGCCTAAGAACATTCGTTTGAAGGCGAGCTAAAGTGAGAAGGCGAAATATCCCCTACATAGGGTTGTGCGCAGGGTTGGGACCCGCCACGTAAAAAAACACCCCAATGAAAAGGAACAACCAGCCTCGGATGAGAGACCATGGAAAACGAAATAAGGACTACGAATACCTAATTGGGAAGGTGCGCCTGCCCAGCTGGTTGCTGTGGCTGACATCACCGCCGTCCAACAAATGCGATGGACGGGACAAAGACAAAGACGAGTAGGTCCTTGTGGCATTTACTACAGTGGCCATATAAAGAGCGCAAGTTTGGTTTGGGATTCGTGGTGGGAGAGAGACTCCGTCGCCGAGTACTATCATTCACTCCGGTGAATGAACGTCATCCGCATCAAAGCGAGGTTTTTCAACATATCGATGATCTGCGCCCACGCCCCAACGGAAGAAAGGACGATGTGACCAAAGATGCCTTTTATGAGTGCTTGGAGCGCACTTATGAGAGCTGCCCCTGCCACGATATCAAAATCCTTCATGGCGACTTTAACGCCAGGGCGGGTAAAGAAGGTATCTTTGGCACCACGGTCGGTAAATTCAGCCTCTACGAAGAAACGTCCCCAAATGGGTTGAGGCTGATGGACTTCGCCGGAGCCCGAAATATGGTTATCTGTAGTACTAGATTCCAGCATAAGAAGATACATCAAAACACCGGATCAAAAAACCACCAACCAGATCGATCATGTTGTGATAGACGGAAGACACGTCTCCAGTGTTTTAGGTGTGCATGCGCTCCGAGGTCCTAACATCGGCTCGGACCACAATCTTGTTGCAGCCAAGATTCGCACGCGGCTCTGTGCATCAAAAAACGCACGCCAACAAACGCAAAGAAGGTTCGACGTCGAGAACCTGCAATCACAACAGACAGCCGAAAGGTTTTTTACTCAGCTTGCATTCCTGCTGTCTGAGAGCTCTCGTCAACAACTCGGTATAAGGGAACAGTGGAACAACAATTCAAACTCCTCATGTACAGCTGCAACCGAACCCATTAGTTTTCAGAAAGTGCAAAAGAACAGCTGGTACGACGAGGAGTGCCGTGTCGCAGCGGAGAGAAAACAGGCTGCCTACTTCGCAACGTTACGATCGACCACAGCACGTGCGGGATGGGACACATACCGACAGTTGAAGCGAGACGCATTTGCAGAAAAAAACGAAAGACGCCGAAATGCGCGAGTATGAAGAGCTTGATGAGCTGGCCGACAGGGGTAATGCTCGAAAGTTCTACGAAAAAATGGGCGGCTTACAGAAGGTTTCAAGACCGGAGCATACTTTTGTAGAACCCCCAAAGGTGATCTAGTCACCGATGCCCAGAGCATACTTAAATCAAGGAGGGAACACTTCTCCAACCTGCTGAATGCCAGTGAACGCACAAAGCCAGGAGAAGGCGAACCCAATTCCCCAATCGGTGACGATGGAGCGAATAGCAAATACGTGCCTGAAGAACAAAAAAGCGGCGGGGGCCGATGGATTGCCGGCCGAGATATTCAAACACAGCGGTGAAGAAATTATAAGAAGCATGCACCAGCTTCTTTGTAAAATAAGGTCGAACGAAAGCACGCCCAACGATTGGAATTTAAGTGTGCTATGCCCAATCCTCAAAAAAGGAGACCCCACAATCTGCGTCAACTACCGTGGGATAAGCCTCCTCAATATCGCGTGTGAAAGATTAAAGCCCACCGTCAACAAATTGATTGGACCTTATCAGCGTGGCTTTAGACCTAGCAAATCAACAACCGACCAAATATTCACCATGCGAAAAGTCCTGGAAAAGACCCGTGAAAAATAATCGACACACGCCACCCCTTCGTCGATTTGAAAGCTGCCTTCCAGGTGTTGTTGATTTTGATATCAACCGCCTCAACACTCGCGCTATTAGTTCTGCTTTCTCCTGACTGGACAAGGAAGCAAAGCAGATGAGTCTGGCAGTGAACGAGGGCAAGACGAAATATCTCCTGTCATCAAACAAACAGTCGTCGCACTCGCGACTTGGCACTCACGTCACTGTTTACAGTCATAACTTTAAAGTCGTAGATAATTTTGTAATCCAACGCAGAATAACTCTTGCCAACAGGTGCTACTTCGGACTGAGTATGCAATTGAGAAGCAAAGTCCTCTTTCGACGAACAAAAAACCAAACTCTATAAGTCACTCATAATTCCCATCCGCGAAAGATTTCTGGTCCTTTGCGCGTTGGCCGCGGCAAATGACGGCACGGCATTCGATGGAACGATGAGCTGTATGAGATGTATAACGACATTGACATAGTTCAGCGAATTAAAAGACAGTGGCTACGCTGGCTAGGTCATGTTGAATGGACGAAAACACTCCAGCTCTGAAAGTATTAGACGCTGTATCCGCCGGAGGAAGCAGAGGAAGAGGAGACTTCCACTCCGTTGGAAGGACCAGGTGGGGACAGACCTGCCTACGCTTTGAATAT